CTATCACCCCACTGCTCACCTTGAATTGCTCTTTCAGAGGCTGCGGGGAGATCAGCAGAAGCTCAGAGCTGTCATTGATCTGGGACGCGGAATGCTGCCCTCCACAGCTGCAGCTGTTACTTTTGGATGCACTTCTCACAGCCAATTCAGCCTTTGAGCTGCATGGTTCAGGGTCAAAGAAAGGTTAGTAAAGGCTTATTATGGATTTATTATTATGAGTCTAGAAGACAGCTTTATTTCCAGGAGACACTGTCCATATTTCAAATCACTGACTTGCAAACAGACGTTGGGGCTGGTGCTCCTGGAAGCTGGAAATGGCTGTACTAGTGTTTTCCAGACATGCAGATGAGGTGAAAGATTTGTGTTATTGAAGACATATGCAACTTTCACATTTTATCATAAAAATAGATGTAAAAACATTTTTTCAGAGGCTGGAGTTGTGACTGAGAGGTAGCATGCTCGCCTACTATACATTAGTCACTAGGTTCGATCCTTAACACCACATAAATAAAATAAAGATATTGTATCCACCTATAACTAAATATTAAATTTTTTTTTCAGGCAAAGTTTTCCAAATAGTACAAATAGTAGCTCTGAATCAAAGATTCTAAAAGTTTAACAGTAGTCAGAATTGGTAGAGTCTGGTTATTAAAAGTGAAAGCTTTGTACATTTATAATGTCTGCATTATAGTTTAGCATCCTCTATACTATTTTGTCCTTATGGTAAACTGTGAGATACTATTTTCTTCACTTTCCAGATGAAGAAGGTAAAGCTCAGATGGGACAAGCCACTTAACTGCTGGTGCAGTTCAGAGCAAATCCAGGATTCAACCTCTGACCTTGAATTTCCCTGTCCAATCTCCTGTCTCCCACAGTACTTTCAGAGGCCTGCTTCACCTAGCCCCCCACCACTTTTCTTTGGTAAGCAAAATATCCACTTCCTAGACCATTCACATTTTTAGGCCAGCATCATTTATTTTGCTTGCTTGGCCTGCAAGTATCTACTAACGTTCTCTTACACTTCCCTAAATGTAGATTTATAGGCACTGTCAAGAGTCAGTTATAGATTTGATCACATGGGCATAGCCTTTTTTGATAAATTTAATTTTATATACAAGGAAATATAAGTAAGCCAGAGGATAAAAGCTTACCACATAGTATTTTGACAATTAATTAAATCAGAGAGGAGAACTGTATTCCTAGGCTAGAAATGATAGAATTGCCATTTTGCACCTGCGGTCACTTTTGGATCCATTTGTGTGGTAAATCTAAAAAGAAAAGATAATCCAAAAATTTTAAAAAGGTATACTTTCTTCATAAAATGACTACTCCTCCATACAAATAATATCAATCAGATTCCTTTCAATTTACTGCTTTATTATAATTGACTAATTTAAACTCTGCATCTAAAAGATTTCTACGGAAATCTAATGGCTAGTTTCACTAAGGCAAATGGTGAGAGAAGCAAAAAATGATTTATGATAGGTTTCATATGAAATAGGATATAGGGATAAAGAAAGTTGAAAGTGGTTCTAAGAGAAAAGACCACAAACTGGGATTAAAAAATTTTTTCTTTGGAAAACCCAGAGATGGATCCAGGAGCTCTCCCTACTCCTGCCAAAGTTGATAGCATCCTTAGCTGAGGTGAGCCACAGGTGAGCTGGAGAGTGCTTGAGCCTTATGGATCCATCCCTTCTCTTCATACCACATCTAATGAAGTCAGCAAAAGTTATCACCATAGTAAGGAACCAAGCTGTTGGTTGTTAGGTGTCCTAGTGCCAGAGTGGTCAATGCCTTCACACAAGAAAAGCAGCTTCTGGGGATAAAACATTTATTGTTCAGACCATAGAATAAAACCTCTGGAAACTGTCAGGATGGTCAAGCTGCTTCCATTTGGCTTTTAAAAATAATGATCTCAGTCTGCCCTGTCTTGTCAGAGGTGCAAATTCTGGTTATGTATAAAATGTTTATATTTTCATAACAACCTGGATGGCAGAGCAGGTTACACCTGTTACTTTCCCACGAGCTTAAACTCTGACATCAGTGTCTTCTCATCTCTGCTGGATGTATTACTTAATTGCAGGCAGAGCCACTCTTAAAGCATGGGATTAACACTTTCCTTTTTTACCTTCTCATCGAAGAATGCCAGAATATCCTGGGCAGAGTTGAAAATGTAGGGCTTACATTTAAGATTTTTAAATGCCTAAGTTTTTCAAATACTTACATATCTAATAAACGTGAAGGAAAATGGAAAAGTTCTTGGTTCTTTCATGTTTCCTTTTTATGATCAACATAATAACAAAATCCTTTTGGCATGATTTCTAGTCACGACAAATCAACAGAGTGGTCATAGGGGAGAAATAAGAAATTTAAATTTACACTGAAAAATTCAGCATTTTGTGGACAAATCAGTTTATATATATGAATGTGTCATATATTTCAGTTACATATTAGATTTGTTAGTGAAAAGTACCTATATGGTGAAAACTGGTAAATAAAATTCATATTTAGGATCACTATGAGGAAAGAGAATTTACACTTTATTTATATATGATAGCAAGTTTATTTTCACTGTCAGCGAAATATTGCATTCTTAAAATTCAGTAAATCTTCCACTATTTTGATAACATTTACATATTCAGAAAATATTTAGGGTTTAGGAATTAGTATAACTGTTATGTGTAACAGCCTCCATTATAAGCAGACAAAGGTACATAATCACGTTGTTTTCTTTTATGGCTTAAATATTATCATTTTAATATTATGTATATATGTAATACTCTACATACTTGGAAAAATGTAGATTATTGGAGAATTCTTGACCTAAGTACTTTCTTTAAAAGGCTAGAGCCAGGGAGATAAATTTGTAAGGCAAGGGGTCTCAATGAGAAAAGAGAAAGAAGCTCAAAAGTAAGCTGATTCACATCCTTCCCCATACTTTATTCTTTGCTCTTAAGGTCTTTGGGGAAATTTAGGAAAATATGGATTTATACACTTCACAATTTGTTAATACTTTATGCTTTGTTTTCCAAGAGAATCAAGGAAGTATGTTGAGCAAAGTATACAAATTCAACAACTGGGAAATCTCATGGAGAGGTTTCATGACTTATCTTCTTCAGTTTTCTCTGGGCAGGGGGGAAACAAAGCATTGAAAACTTTATATCAATATTCTTTTGAAATCAGGAATATAATTAATTTGCTGAGAGGCATGTATTAAAATGTGATATGTAGTAGGGTTTTTTTCTCTCTTTAATTTAAACTGACTCAGAAAGAATTTGAGAGAAAAATTAGGAAATAAATGTAGCTTTTGATTAAAATCACAATTTTCCATCTAAGTGTTGGTACCAGCTCATCTTCTTTATCTCCATTAATCACATTTTCCTATAGCAAAAGTCCTTTGTGTGTTGTGGTCCATTAACATATCCAGCTCCTACCATTTTCTTAATTATCAACTTCCCAAATGCATCACTTTCCCTGGTCAGATTGCATTGTTTCCTTTTTGTGTCCTCCTGCCTTATAGATAATAGCCTTGGTGGGGTGATATTAGAAAACAGACTTCCTATCTTAACTCCAGTAATTCCATTTTCTCTACCACTTTCCAACCACAGAACCAGCAATCATCATTGGGTACCATGTCCACCCATCCAGTGGGATCAGGAATAAATACAGAAGAGTTAAATCCAACTCAGCAAATAGCTATGTTGTGTCCATTCTGTGCCAGGAACTGTGGTAGGTGCTGGGATACAAAGTGCAGAAGACAACCTACTTGGCCTCAAGAAACTCATGGACTATCACCCAGGCTCTTATCCTTTAGCATTCCTGATCCACTTTGATTATTCTCTCTTGCTCATTCCCTCTGCAACCTCTCCTGCCTTATGGACTTGCTACCTACCTTTACTCACTCTGTTCCTTTATCCTGATAGTATTTTTCTTT